TTGGCTTCACTATAATTTTTAATTCGTTTAGACCACTTTCGAAAATTTTCCGCTTTAGATCAATAAACAGCTCGAGCTGTTGGATAGATCTAACCAACTTTTAATTGCAGGTGTGCTTCTAATCGTTGCAGCTTTTATGATACCAGAAACACCTAATTTCTACCTACAAAATGGATCCTACATCCAAGCAATAGAAGCTATAGAGTAAGTACTTTCTTATATAGAGGACGTCTTTATTCCAACAGCTTTGTGTAATTGCACTACTTTCGCGATGTGCAGTAGCGCGGGCCGCTGACGGTAGAGTCACTGTTATCTTTGTGAATTATAACTATGAGAAATTCATGGAAAACGATTGTGCGAGAAGAAGAAAAGACTCGCATTTTTCGAATTTGCAAATGCTAGTACAAATTGAAATATTGCAATTACACAAGGCAGATATATCTAGATCACATCATAATCTATTATAGTTTTTACTACGGTATTTCTTACGATGATGATGATGAGGCAATCAGAGAGTACTGGGATATGGTTCCTGAGGTAAGGCTAAACACAAACTTTCAATTTGGAATTGTGCTATGTTTAAGATGCCATCTCAAATTTGCTTCTCTGAAGCAATCATGAATCCTACAATTTTGAAAGGGATTTTTCTGGGAATGATAGTCAGCGCAAGTCAAATATTTTCGGGAAGTATGGCTTCCGTATCGTACTCGACTAGGTAGGACGTTTTGAAACTTTCTGTATTCAGATTCGTTTAGGGAAATTATTTTAGCATGTTCTCAGCTGTGTCTTTCGACCAATCATTCATTCCATTCTTGCCTGCACTGGGAGCACTTGTTTCTATTGCCTTGACTTTACCTGCCCTTAGACTGGTATGAAATTTACTCGCTTCAGAAATTTTCTTGTAAGTCGATATAGATAAGGATAATTCCAGGTAGAGACCACAAGTCGGCGTTCACTTCTACTTAGCACACTTTTACTGTGCCTTTTTGCTGACTGTCTTCTTCTTATCTTCTCCCTTCTCTCCATGGGTATGTTAGTTTCACAAACGCAGAGATGAGACCATACCTACTCTTCGACCTTCTTCATTGTAGCCGTCACTTTGTGTAATTGCACTACTTTCGCTGCAATGTAGACCAATGGCGGAGGAGTTGCTTTCATAAATGATAAAACAGTAAAAATATGGATCGATTGATAAAATTCGGAGAAAAAGAAACAACTGCAAGTAGAAAGGATGCGTAATAAGAACATCATCATGCCGAAGCAGAAAAGTAGTGTTACACAAAGTGGATGCTGAAATTAAAAGGCTGTAATTTATTGCGCTTTTTCTTTTCGAAAATTCAGCTTTTGATTGCTCATCTTCTTAACTTATCTCAGCTCATCAAACTGGTTAGTAACGATTATTTTCAGATGAATGGTGGGCCTCATGGCTCTATCTACTCAGTTTCTTCATTTATGGAATAGGCTACAACCTTGGCACCGGTCCAGTGGCCTACTTCATTCCTGCTGAACTAGTACCCGCAGAAGCAGCCAGTGTTTCATTGGGTAAGCTAACTCTCTTGATACCCACTTCTCTCCCCTTCCCTAGTAATTCGAATTTTTCAGGAGCCGCTGTGGCCGTCAACTGGATAAGTTCTATGGTAACCACCTTGCTTTACTACCCACTAAATGAATCTGTACAAGGGTGGAGCTACCTCCTATTTATCATCCCTACGTAAGTAAATCTACCTGAAACTCCAGATTTGAAAGTAACCGTCTTTGATTCTAGAACTCTGTTCTTGATAATCCTGTTCTTCTTTCTTCCTGAAACGAGGTTTCACTACCGATCCGATACCATAGACAGTCGATTGCTAGCGGACCTAGGACAACCGTCGCCTTATGGAACTTTTGAAGACGACGAAATTGATTTATTTTGATACTGACGCCATATTTGTCCTTCGTGTGTTCAATGTATAAAATTTTGATTTTTTGTATGGCACTATGCCTCTATGCATTTAGATAGGGAAGTGTCTTGCCGAGTGGACCGACTTCCATTAAAGGCAGTGTCCGCGC